AACGCTAGCTAGACGTGGTCGACGAGGACGCCTGGAGTTCTTCGGGGTACAAGGACCGTGTACTGGAGCGCGATGGGGGGAGTGACACCTATCAAGCGCACCGCAGGGTCTGCAGCATAATGAAAGTCTTCTCAGCCATTTTCTGGACTAGCCAGTTGTTTTGCAGTCCGACCAGCCCGCCCCGACGGCCCACCGATGAAGCTCCTGGTCCACACAATCGTCATAAATAATAAATAACATAAGCCTGAACCCAGCGAACTCTGCTACACACCCCACCTTGGAAGCCCTTGCTCAAGCCCATACAAATATTCGCACCCATCCTCACCCTCCGTTTTCCCCCACTAACAGCTCCATTCAGGGCTTCAATCCTTTTGGCTTTTTAGGGGAGGCCCGTGTAGTGTACCGGAAAACACGCTCTTTCAATATTTTGCAAAATTGGATTTTACGGTTGTTTTAAGCTTCAGAACGTCCACTTGTTTTACTGACTGCACATTCGTTGACACAAAGTGATTGGGTGAGTACCTTGCTGCACCGTTTATCGCTCTGGTTGATTCGCTTCTTGCTTTTGTAGCCTACACAATATATGTTGGGTTCAGTCGCCTTCAACTTCTATACGGTGCCGTGTTTGACACGGCACTTACGTGTCATTGATTACCGAGTAGCATCCCAGGCTCCACGCAACAAGGTCCGGCTGAACGCTGACATTACTACCCTCGAGTTTGAATGTAAAGCGCATTGAGGCTTTGCGTCGTCGTCGCGGTTTTCGTATCGAGAAGGACTTTCCCTACTCTGGTTAGCTTTCTGATAGTGACACTGGGGAAACCAGGTGGAAGCTAAGTACAACTTTGGTGATGTACGGCAAGCGTCACACCGCGAATAACAGTAAAGTGGTTGTGCATAAGCGAATGTAGTTATAATTGCTTAAGAACGTACTAAAACATACAAATGCAAGGATAGCACTATCGCCACAACCTTTTAATATGTTGTTTTTGAAGAAAACAGCAGACGTTTGTAACCTTTTGAACATAAATAATTCGCACTACCGATAAACATATGAGCAGAGTTAAAAGTAGCAAGTTTCTCCAGCAGTTTCATTGGATTAAGGCTAGTATTTAACAAACTGACGTAGTATTCTTGATGTTTCTTCACCGCAGTTGGGCTAAACCAAATTAAACTTAAACCAGGTATTTATAAGCTGGCAAAATTTCATTCCACTTTATTTTGTTTGTTCTGCCTACCTGAATAATTTTTTATTAACTGGCCACGTCGCTTACGCTAAATACGCTTGCCTTCCGTAACTTCGTTGCGTTTGTAGCACTTTTAAGTAACTTGTGGACATTTTTCCTTATGGCGGATACTTTGATAACCAACTTACTTCTTATGGTAATGTAGCGAAGAGTTATGCCACCGTTTCTGGATGCATTAATGGATTTGTTTTATTCCATCTTGTCGGTTGCTTGATATCCCCGGTGTGGCTGCGCTTGATGTGCATGTTGACAAGGTGCCTACCTGTCTATTACCCACTACCTCACCCAAACTGGCTCCAGGAGATAGTTGGTGGTTGCTAGAGGGGACGGGGTGCGCGGTCATTGTGGCCGCGCTAGGCTCGAAGAGCGGTTCCACGCACTCAGTGTGGAGCGGACTACGACCCAGCCACCGCCTTGTGTGCGCTTGATTTCCAAATACAGCGTGCTTGTGTTTGCCTGTGAAGGAGTGTGGGCTGGCTCCGTTGATGAAACGTGGCTCCCATCCACATGCCTCTCGGTCTTATTCCTTCGGGTTTACACTGGATATGGGGCATGTGGTTGGAGCTGTGGGTGGTGCAGTGCAAGCCACCCATGGTCCCTCTGTAGGCGCAGGCGTCCTGTGGCTGGCCACAGTGACACGCAAATCCGAAATCAGATGCCGCCAACCATCCTGGATACGGCAAACTCACTATGGCCTCACATCTCGCAGCTACCCATACACTCGTCGAGACCGCCAATGGGCCCGCCACACCCGACGGATATACGGTTATCATTGCCAGTCAGTTTGTTGAGGGTAAAGCAGCCGCCTGTATAGCAACGCCCACGAACTGGTGTACTACATCAAGCAGTTCGAGAGAATCTCCGGGTCATATTACAGCGTTCGAACTTTGAAAGCAAATGCCTCCGGCGAGAAAACATTGAACAATTATCAGTGCCACCGGAAAGGGTTTGCCAGCCATCCTAACGAAGGTAAAAGACGAAGACTATTGGATCACACACATTGCGGCGCCTATTTCAATGTCTGTAGGCTTGGATCTTTGTTCAGAATAGCCAATTCCACATGTTGCATAATCATGAACTTCTGGGAGACTAAGCCTTAACGTGATTCAGTAGAATGCTTCGGTTAGCGCCGGAAGAGCTGGAGCTAATCAGGTCAATGCTTAGATGCCGAAGCCGATGTTTCAACCTCCGGTTCTACGTCCGATCGAAATTCGGAAAATACTTGATGAACACTGACGTCGGCAAACTTCGAGAGAGGCATATATCCGGCGCCACATACCAGATAACGTGCTCTTTGTTTGGGTAGCTTAAAATGTAGTTTTTTTTATACTATCAAAAATTCAACTTTCCACCCCCACAGTACACCACACACCACCCCCACAGTTTCCAACAGTTTTACCACACCACCACCACAGTTTCCCCGGTCCCACCCCCAACACAGTGGGGCACACAGTCACGAGTCCCCCAACACCACCGTTGCCACCCACCACCACAGTTGTCCACAGTTTACAGCATTTTCCCCCACCCCCAACCCACAGACAGCCCTACAGTTCACACCCACACAGCCCACAGTTTTCGAGACACACAGTGCCACAGTTTTACAATCCACCACAATCTCATCACACCTCACCAATTATGGGCTACCACACCACGTGGCCCAACATCTGGGGCTCAAGCACCCTCCATCCCCCCACCACCCCCACCGTAATCCAAGGATCACTCCGCTACTCTACGCCGACC